GACAAATAATTTCAATTTTGGTACAGTTAATTTTTTGTCCAGTGTTTGAAATGAATAAATATTTAAGGGACAAATATTTCATTTCTGTTTGGTAAATGTATATCTTTGTGTTGGGGGGGCTGGGGGGGGGGGGGGTTGAACGATTTTTAAATAAAGTTGTACAACAGTTTTCAGCGAGAATAAGTATAATACGCATGCACTTTTATAATCCTAGAATTAAAATATATTGTCATGTTAAGCCATGACCTGACTCCACAAATTTTTACCCCCCCCCCTCCTAGAATCAAATATCTCCTGAAAATTAATATTTGTCTTGTATGATAAAAAAACGTTCTTAAAATTATAAGCTAAATCTTGTATTATTGTGAACTTCAAACAATATGTATTTGGGAATTGAAATATAGTTGATTTTTGGATCATACATTCACTCTTTGCTTTGAAAACAGCTCAGGTGGATTGAAAATTAATTTCGATCTGCAATTTCAATCCGATGTTTTCCACACGTCTGCGTCGAAATGTACCCGCCCATTTCGTTGTCTATCACTGAGTGTTTTGATTGTAACAGATAGAAATGACGTAAGCTGTATATTTCCAATTTTGCCAGTTAATGTTCCGCGGTCTTAAGAAAAGAATATCTTATGAGATAAGTTAATAGACGTACAATTTATATAAATCTATCTGTGTATAACGGTTTTAAATAGAAAATTTAATCCCGAAAAAAATAAACCAATTTAACAACGATTTCAAAATAAACATGGTTTAGTGGTACATTTTACAACTGAAATAGGTATAACCTTAAATAAAGGGTAAACCGCATATCATTCCTAACTGCCAACGTATCCTTTGATTTATAAGATACACATTTACCATCTTATGGTTGCATATTTATGCCATCCACATAATTTTTTGTCAACATAGCAAATCATGTCAAGTCAAGATAACTATCTCGTCAAGTGATGATAACTTTCTGGATTGTCTACAAAGACCGACTTTATATCTTGTCAAGTCAAGATAAGCTATCACGTTTTGTTGCAATAGCTATCTTGACATAACGAGATAACATTTAATCGAGATACAAAATGAATTATCTCGTTTTGGCGAGATAGCTATCGCAAAAATACGATAGCTTATCTTGACCGGACAAGATAAAAGTTGGTGTTTGACGACAAACCAGAAAGTTTTCATGACCTGACGCGATAGTTATATTGACTTGATGTGATATCTTATGTTGACAAAAAGTTATGTGGATGGCATAAATATGCCACCATACCATCTCTCTGCCTATTAAATATGTGCAGATGATGATAATTTTATCAATTTTTTAGTTGAGTTTTATGTTTTTATAAATAGAAAAAAGTTATGTTGATTTCTTTCAATAACACTTCCAAAATATTTAACCTTCTATTCAGACGGCACACAATAAAAAGATCGGAAGTGTTTTAAAATGGAGAACTTTATGCATTCTTTTGGGGGCCAAAGAAAATTTCCATATATATTGTGAATGGCATTAAACATATGGACACAAAGAACAGTATTCCAGATCGAAAGTCCATAAAACAATAGGAGCGGAGCAAACATGGACCTCCAAAACATCAGAGGTGGGATCAGGTGCCATGGAGGAGTGAGCATGAAAGGAGATTCAAAATCGATTTTTTTTCTGGCTCATTGATCCTTTACCATTAAAAGAGTTCACTTGTGGTGCCTAATGTTTAAGTACTACTCAACGCAAATAATTTAAACATCTGAGCGAATTACAACATGTTCCTGTATTTCTAGACTTTTTACACACTGCTTCTCATTGCATTGCATATATTTCATATATATTTTTGTATCCAAACCAACGTTTGTATATTACGTTTTTTTTTCTAGGATGTTCATAAAATTTTCTTTAATTTAAATTTAAGACTGTTTTTATTTTATTTTCCTTAAATCTATCTCTCACATTTTTTACTAACTGCTAATATAAACTTTCATCTTTTTTTTTGTTTTCTGACTACTTTGCTTCACTGATGTCCAATAAAAGAACTGTTAAAAAACTGACACTAAGAAATGCAGACGTTCTACGTAATATGTATAATGTTTGTTTATTAAGGGGCAAAGAGGAGACGAGGTTGCATTGAATATTCCTCGTTTGTGTAACAAGGTAACATAAAGTCCTTCTCATTTGTGTCATGTATTGCAGGATAAAATGAAATTCTATACAGAAGTTACTTATATCACCTCTTACTTTCACCTCTTAGTTTAAAAGATGAATTTTAAGAAAGATAATAATTGACATATTACATTAACATTTGATTTGAATTGCCCCAGGTGATGAAAAGTGATTGTAATTGATTTTTCTATCTTCTTAATATAGATTATGGCCTGTAAAAAATAAGATTTAAACCTGAATCATAGTGGTTAAACATTGCTGAGTATACCAAAACTACATTGTTATTATAGCTAACTATAATATACCTTAGTTCAACCTTTGCTAACTATAGTTAACTAAGAAAAGATTTTCATATTTTTTATATAGAATGTACTTTGAAACTTTTCTCCGATACATTTTCGAGATTTCTTTTAAATCTTAAATCTTTGAATTAAATTGCTGTGAAATGTGGTTATAGGATTTGAATGTTAAAGTCTAAATTCCATTTTAAATATTTAATGAACACGCGCATGGATTTGAAAACATTAAATTTATTTCAATCTAAAATCAATGGTAAAATTCCTTGATTTCCTAGTAAAAGTAAAAACATTGAGGTACTATCAACTGCCGATGTTGCTCTTGTCTCCAAACCTATTCGATACCACAGAGGATGCTCTCTATACGAAAACATTTTTAATCTTAGCATGTATCTGGACCACTGGTTCACGAAGATATGGAAATAACGAACAGTGCTCAAGCTCAAAAGTCCATTAAATTATACAGAATAAGAGCTGAGAAATCATGGACCTTCAAAACATCAGAGGTGGGATTAGGTGCCAGGTAGGAGTGAGGATCTCCTGCCGACCGGTCATGATCGAAAACTAACGGAAAAATCCGTTGACAATTCAGTGTGTGTATAATGGGCTACATGTAGCAATTGTTTATAAAAAACGACAGTCAACATTTGACATAATGACTAATTGTATTTGCTGACAATGTAAGTGTATCAACCATGGAAATTAAGACTTTAAACGTGAATTTAAACGAGACTGCTTGTAACCATGAAAGCGATTTCAACAATATTGTTTGAAGATGGCATTTCACAAAGTCTATAGTCAATAGAATAAGCTTAATAGCAAATATATCCTATCTTTGGTTCTTCATTAGGCTGCCTTGCTTCATATCAATTGTTAAGCCTTTGTTTTGACTTTAGAATCGAAGAAGCTGGGGTCTTACGTGTATGTTTCACAAGTGTACATGTGCATACTGTGATAAGACTATTCCATGATATATATATAAATATGTTTATCGTTTTAACCTTGACTTTTGAGTTTGACCCAATTTTAACAAATTTTAACCTTGGGTAGACCTTTTTAAACGAAAACTAGAGCCTGCATATTTCACAGGAGTATTCTATTTTACAAGGCCTTCCTTCGGATACCAAAAATGTTGACATCTGGGCTTGAATTTGAGTTTCACTACTTTTAAATCAATTTAGCCATAGCTTTTGGCAAAGGTGATACAAGGGTTTTTCGTATTTAATATGTATGATTCTTAAGACAAGGTCTTCCCTTTGATACACTTATTTTGGCCCCTTGACATGGATTTTAGGTATGTCCCACATTTAAAGAAATTAACATTTATCATAACTTTTTAATGGTTAGTGCATTTGAGAAACTTTCTTTAACCTCTGTTTACTTTTAATAAATGAGTAAAATTGATATCAAGAAAAACGTAGGTGTATACTTAGTGATTGTTTTTAAGTTTTGTGTGAGTTATTGGTGTGTGAATCACACAAACTTGTCACGTAGGCATATTTCATGAAGCGCGCTAGGTACATATACTTTCATTTGATTCCAATATCGGACGAAAATTACGCTGAATATAGACGTTAAATTTACGCAAAATGTTGGCTCAATCACCATCTTGAATTTGATAGTAAAGGCAGTATTAAAGTATTTTTGTAAGCGTTCCTTATATATAGGTTCAGTGGGGTTGTTAATTTTTTTTTATATAGAATACGTATGGGTTATGTATTTCATAAGAATTAAATGTATCGGTTATCAGGTATCATCAATACATTCTTTTGCTTCCCCTAACTTAATTTGAAGGACAAATAAATTTGAAATTTATTTCTTGGGCGAAAAAAATGTTTTGATATTTTCAATCAAGTTATGAAGAATATAGAGAAAAGTCGTACAGTTGTATATGATTTAATGTCAAACCAAAACCACATGCCACAATAAAAGAAAAAAAAACAATCACAAATATTTTAATTACCATCTTATAAAACAACATCAATATTAGAATCAAAACAGATATTCACCTGTCACATTCATTTCATATAAAATATTTGCTAATTGTCAATTCAGTCTCTTGTTTGACACATGTTTTCGTGTTTCCTCGTTCTGAAGCTTACAGAGGAGCTTGGTTATCTTGCAGTCACAAGTATAATTAATTGCCTTCACTAAACCTGTTGCAGATAATAATACCACAAGTTTCCGGCGAGAAAAAAAATGAGGCTCTAGGTGGGTCGCGCCATTTCAAAAATCTTTTCTATCTCCCCAAACGAAAGAGCTCTATTTTTTTTAAGATTTAGTTTTATGATACGATTTCATGTGATGCTAGAACAACAAAAATGTTCTCTGGTAGAAATAAGATATGTGATTGAGATGTTTTGATCATTACACATTCTCATTCCAGCCTCGGGGCTTCTTTTTATTCCAGACCCGATTTAAATTTCTATGCGTGACACTTATGACACCGTAAATTTCTTTTTGCAGATACGGAACTCTGACGTATATCTTTATGCATATTAATTAACCGCTAATTGCCGCGCGAGGCTTCCCGACTTCATTATTTCGTTTACCTTAAACAAGAGGTTGTTTCGAGGCTAGTTTCCGAAGTACACGCTCATTATTTTCAGTTTCGTGAAATTGTTGGGTGTAGTCGGCCAGGGCTCTATTGCTATTGAAGAAATTTGACAATTTTGACGGTTCTTTTTGTGTGTGAAACATGGAAGAACTTATTACTTAATTTCATCGAACAAATACATTTTTTTCTTCTGTTTTAGAGAAGGAATTATGGTCACACCTTAAATCACTATAAAAATATATATATTCTCATATTAGTATTATAAGAGGAAAAATTTTGTTTTAAAGTTATTTACGCAACTGTTGGATATTTTACACAAGTGTTTTGGATAAAACCACAGTTTACATTTACAATGTTTCGTTTTGTGGTATTCTTGATATGGACTTGTTTTGCTCTTCGGATACATTCGGCACGCCTCTTTGATCCGACACCCCGGAATGCCCTCTGGACTTACTCATCCCTCTTGGACAATGGCGGCTCAGTTCTTGATTGTGGAGGAATAGATGTAAGTTGTTAATTGTGCTTGTCAGAGAGAGGCTCACTTAAATCAGGTCTTTTGTAGCAGTGAATCTGAGTTATCTGAGAGAAATATATGAGGTTGAATAGATTTTATATCTACCAGTATACTTTTTTCAGTCACTGTCAGAAATCGGAGAAAACAACTGACAAATTTTCAAATAACTGGTACTTTCTGTGAATCTTAACAAAAGACTTTGTCTGATAGTAAAATTCCAAGCTCTGTCATATATATAGTGAAGAGATCTGAAAAAATTGGAATTGTTATAAAAATTATTACGTATTGAGTACTTATCAGATTTTGAAATAGACAACACGAAAAAAATGTCTAATGGTATATGAAGAAACTGATGTGATTTATAGTTAAAAAATGTTTCCCCTAAATCCCATTGTACAGTAGTTAACTTCCTTTTTACGATGTTTGTTTAAAAGAACTGGTAATTACTGTACAAAATAGTATAAATTTGACAGATTAAATGTTGAGGATAAATAGAAATATGTTTCTTTATAGACAAGTGACAAAGTTATGTTGAATAAATGTCATCAATTATAGTTTATTAATTGAATTAACACGAATCAAAAGGGAATAAAATTAATTAATTAATTGCTACACTGTCAGGTCCTTTATCATCGTTATTTTAGGAAAATAATAAGGCTTTCAAACTACAATAAACATTGAAATACTTCATTGTCGTTAATATGCTTATGTCGTATTAACCTGCTGAATAAATCCAATTAATGCAATTAAGAAAGTTAAAGACGTGATCTGAAGTGCTTTAATTATTTTATATTAATTTACTGACTCATAATTCTTAACATAATTTGGTTTTGACGTGCTGAATATAAATTGCCAACGAAAAATATACCTTCTACGTTTCGCATGTATACGTAGCCATCGCCCTTTCAGCATTTCAATCTATTTATTATTTATATAAGGAAACCCTTTGTCACAAATCATTATCTAAAGAGTATTTTATGAATAGTTTTCTTTTGTATTAACTGATCTTAATATAATTCACCTTAACCACATCACTCGCACTGTACGGTTACTTGTGGTTAAGGATACAAGTATGATAAAATAATTAATCAAAAATCAAACCAGAGAGTGAATTTATTTCTAATAAAATAAATGTTATATTCATAAACTTTTTCAAAAAACGTTTAAAAGACAACCCAAATATTTTGGAAGACATGAGTTAATACAGAACAAGTGAAATAAATCAGGAAAAAAATAGTCTCTACATAATGCAACTCTTTTTACATCTGTTTAAAAGAAACACCTGAAGCGATTGAAATACATATTTATAATTTATATCACAAGGAAATATATCGTTAATGGGCCTGGTACAAATGCTGCCATTAATTATCACACTGACAAAAGAAGTGAAGAAGATAACTCTTATCCGCCCAACGGAAGAAAATCCCGCTTAACGTAGTTTTTAATTACAAAAATACAGCTTTTTTCTCCCATACAAAATGGACACGTTTTCAAAGCAATTGTAGAGAAAAAATGTTAAGAGAAATACTTTTCTTCTTAGTAATTCCCCACTCTCCCTCTCTCCCTCATAGGAGTATGTTACACTCTTTTAAAATTTCTTAGGTACAGTTAAGGTAATATGTCTAAAAACAAGGTGGATGGACATGTCGTGTGCATTTGGTTTGTCAAAAAAGTGAATATTTCAATTAGAATCATAGAATTGTTTTGTAAACAAAATTCCATTTAAGAAGTAATTCCATCATACACATTTGAAGTTGGGGTATATCACACGCCATGTTCGCCCAAGTTCTTTATATATAAAATGTATGTCAGGCGAAAGTACTTTGACTTCAACAATCAATCTTGAACAATTTCGTTAAAGTCTGTATTATTAGACATGCACTGAATTCTAACGACACTCTGTGGTTTCAAAAACTTAATAAAATTTTCTCCACATGTCAGGTGCGTGCAGAAAAGGAATTGTATTTTATTCATAATATGTAGAAATGTTATCATTCTGACACGTCGGTGATTGATTTCACCTTAATTATAGAAATTTACGAGTCCTTGTCATTTATAAATATTTAACAAATCACAATAATCAATTCTGAATTTACTGATTTATTGCTTTAAGAAGGTTATCTCGAGAATTTAGAAGGAAAAAAAAAACACTTCCTCTACCAAACCCAAAATTTTTGCTAAAATTTGAGTACAACTTCTAATTCCAACGTCAGAAATGTGACTTAAGGTTCGTGAACCATCTGCTCATAAGTATAAAATGTTGCTTTAACATTGTTGATTTATATTAGATAAAAATAATATATGTAAAATGCAAAGAATTTTATCAAATCTTGCGTTGCAAAATAAAAAAGAAAAGAAAGAATTTTACTTGACAAATCTATGAAGGAATGTGAAACATTTATGTTATTCAAAGTTGTCCCTGTTATCAGAGTAACAATGTACCTTAAATAACTTTGCATGTGACAAGGACAGAGCGAGTAAAAATTTAAGAGGTGAAGATTTAATGTACAATCTGTTTTCGCGAATAAAATATATATGTGAAAATATTCAAATATATACATATTAAACTAAGTATTACATTTGTACTGTGCCCATTCGCTTTTGTCTTTAGTAATTAAGTCTTAAAATTCCTTTGCGTACATGTACCTACAGGCACGTTAAACGAAATAACTTTATAACAATGTATTTTTCACACTTCTTGTGTCCTTGAAACTTCAAGCTCTCTTATTCATGCAAGATGAATTTAATGAAATAATCTCAAAATAAAACAAAGAAATAATGATATTAATATATATGATTAATTTTCACAGAGACAATGGAATTTGAATGGCGGGAAATGTGGTGTTTGCGGGGATCCCTGGGATGGATTACGTCTCCATGAAGATGGCGGCAAATACGGACAGGGAATTGTGGGAGGAATATACAGAACCGGAAGTACTGTTCTGTTTACTATTGAAAACCCAGAAAGAATTGGAGGAGAAATCGAATTCAAGCTATGTGACGTCACAGAAAAGGGACAAGATCTTCACCAGAGCTGTTTCGACGAACATGTTCTGCTGTTTGCGGACACCAAGAAGACGAGTCATCGTGTGAAATCTCATGAGGGTTTCCTTGATGCTCATGTTCAACTTCCGGCTGGGCTTGTCTGTCAGCATTGTGTTTTACAGTTGACATTCATACAAGGTAAATAACACTTGAATGTATTTTGTACATAAAGATAGCTTTTTTATTATATAAATCGCCTTATGTTATGGTTAAATATTCCAACAACTCATTTGAACATCACGATTAAAAATGTAAGACATTTATATGTAAGGACCCCAGTTAGATACAATTGGATGCAACACTTTTCTTAAGATCTTAAAAAAGATATTAATACTCGTATGATATATTTCTTCATTTATAAAATTAGGGACATGCATTCTCCCAACATAAAATGGAGACCTATGTTATTGACGTTATGTGTAGAATATAAATCAACTTTCTTTTCATAATTACATGTACATGTCTGTGCCATAGGAGGCATGCACCTTTGAATTTTAATTAATCAAATTGAAATACCATTTTATTTTCAACCTAGGTATTTTTTCACATTTTACCAATTAAATAATTTTCAGATAAATATATGCATAGTCTTCTGATAGACTGGTTTTCTCCACAAAAGTATTTCAACAATGAAATCTTGTATTCAGCTCTCGAGTTGCATGTAAATGTGACATATGAATTAAAAAAAATTTTATTATACAGAACTGCAATAAAAGGACAAAAACAGAGCCACAATTTTTCAAGGCGTGTTTAAAACCAATTAAGTAAATTTAATTAGTTAAGGAAATCTTGTATTTTATATAACTTGACAGATATGCATAATTTTATATCTTGTCGAGAGTTTTTAAGCGTTAAAATTTAAACATATATGACGGTAAAGACGATATAATTTTTAACGTGTGCAGAATGTTGATTAAGTTGAATTTAATTTAAGTTTTTGGTCTTATTTTTTTTGCAAAAATATTTAATGGTTGTATTAGTTTCTATGGGATATATTTATCCCCAAAATCCTAGCTAACAAAAAAAAATTTCTTACTTTTCATTAAACCTACACCGAAAGAAAAACCTAGTGAATTTAACTATTGTGTTTCGTAAAGCGTTGGTCGTGATTAGTCAACTTTCAGTTTACTGGTTAAAATAGTGAGTTGTGGAGCGGGGGTTTTCATTGTCAAAGTTACCATCAACTAAATTTATGTTTTGCAATATCTGGTAAAACTACTAATATTCCAGGTAATGATTGTATGGAATAAATATATAACTAGTTATTTTTTTAATCATGCTTTGCCGTCTAATATTCCATTAAGAAAAGCATTTTTTTTGGTTTGTTTTGTGTTGTTCTTTTGTTTGAGATCTTCAGATTAATTTATTCATGATATAACCTTTCAAAGAATTTGATTTTTGGTCTTTGGATAAAAAAGTAAAGTATGAAGAATTGAACATCAACCACTATCTATCAAATATTTTGTTAATTAGTGAAATACTGAATCTCTGGTCAATTATAATCAAATGGTAATAACAAGTACTCATTTAATTCATTAATTTCAATTCTAAAAAAATACATGTCTGAATTTTTTATGAAACTTTAACTGAATGATGGGTATTTTTGACATTTAAGATGACACTTTAAATGCAGTTGTTCGGATTTCGTCTTGCATAATGTTTCAGAAATTAGAATCGTGCTCTTCTAAATTACAGAAGTTAGGCTCATCCCTATTTACGTTTTACAATAGCATTCATCAAAATGCGGCAAGAATACTAAGTTAAACTTTCCCTGAAATGCGCCAATGTAAGTTGAGCACCAGTGCCGACCTGTTGGATTTAGACAGCTTGCAATTAATTTACTTTTTACACGTTTTAAAATTCAAGAAAAGGTACTGAATGATAAAATCAAAGATGCGCGTCTTTCGAAATCAGTAGCTACTTTTTAAAACGTAAATGCACATATCATTTAAATATGCAGTCAAACACTAAAAACTGGTACTTTTTATAATCTTCATGTATATGCAAATAGCATTAAAAGGTAGATAAACACTTAAAATGAACTTTTTGTGATGTATATGCATCAAAATACAGATTGACATATTTTTGAATTTTAAAAATTCAAATACATTCACATTTTTTTTGGCACTTTTCAGCTATTAAAAAGTATGAATGATTAAAAAAAATTTAAATTGTTGTAGTTTGAATTTATTGCTTTTATCTTATAAAAAGTTAGAAAATTGTTATAAAACGATAAAGTTTGCAAAATAACATAAGTTCCTATGATATGTATTTCATTCAATATTTTCTCGTCTTTTGTAGATAATAACGAATGTCCTGAATGTGTGGAAAAACGAACCATCCGCAATTGCGCAGATATACAAATAACCCCAGGAAAAAGCCGACAAAAGCGACAGGTACAAGGGTGGAAAAACCAACAACCTGATCAAACTAACCTGGGTAAGAGAGTTGAATGGCTCGGAGTACAGGCCAAAAAAGCAGCAGCCGCACATGCCACAGCCAAAAAGCCAACGGTGATGAAGGATGCAGAGATATACAGAACAGAGCTGAAAAAGGTAGAGTCAATTGCCCCAAAACCCACCCCACCAAGACATCTGAACGGCAGACAACAACATTTCTACCAACTTCAACATCAGAGAGCGCTCCATAGGAATCAAAATCGGCAATTTGGCCAGCAACAGAACTCTGGGCCTTCACTATATAGGCATAATTCTGAAGTATTATCTAGCAGGGCAAGTAAAAGCAATTTCAAGCTCACACAGGAAGCAAGGCCCAAGAAACCAAAGAAGAATCAGGTAGAACCGTCTCCCGCGTTTATTAATGCTGATCCCAAACCAACACAGCCGTCACAGCAGAAACCAACACCAACGCAACATTCTCAACAGCAGTCAACTCCAAATAATCAGGTTAACCACCATCATCATAAACAACACAAAGCAGCGAACATAATTCAAAACAATGCAAGACCGACAAACCAACCAGTACATATGTATCCCAACAAGCAACACCAGCAACACCAAAATCAACCTATGTACAACAATAATCAACAACGACATCAAAATCAGTTCAACCATCGCAATCAAAATTTCGCCCGCCAACAACGCTACCAGCAATCTCGTAATTTCAACAATCAATGGAACATGCATAGATGGAATCAAAATAATAATAAATTCCAACAAAGCCAACACCAAAGAAACTCACTTTCGCAATCACGCCAACAGCCCACAAAGCCATCCCCTTCCATGGATGCTGTTGGGGGTGCATTCAGTTCACAGTTCGATAAACCATCTGGGGGACTCTCTAGCATGCCTTCAGAAAATCCGAACAAACAACCGTTCAACGACATGGTAGCAAAGACGCATACTGGTGGTTTTCTATCCTCTCAAGATAGTTTGATACCAAGGTCCTCAAATCCGAACTCTTTTCATAATGGAAGACGACCTATAAGTCCTCCTTCATCTGGACTATATCCCACTAATGACGTTGTACCCTCTGTGTCTGCAGGAAAACCACCTCTAAGCAACTTTAAGGGAGACACTCCAATTTCGATAGACCGTCCAGCTAAAGGAATGAATTCTGACACAAAATTTGTAAGAAATATCATTCAACCAGCTGGATTTAAAGAAATTCCCCATTTAGATTTTGTGCATGCTCCAGAGGTTCAAAGACAGCGCATAGGTCCAAAATCTAACCAGAAACATGTACCGTCTACAACAGTTTCTCCCAAGGACGCACAGTGGATGGCACAATCTAACTACATGCCTAAACCACAGCAGACATGGAACAATAATGTTCCAAATCAACAATCATGGCAAAAACCAGCTTCTGAAGGAGGAGCCCAACCAGTAGAGACACAACAGTCTTTTGTTCTTAACAAAAGGCCAATGCAATCAAATTCAGCATCCAAAAGCATTAAACAACCAATTAGAACACCTACAGAGGTTCCGATAAAAGTCCAACCTAATCCACAGTGGTTTAATCCACAACCCCGACAACCTCAACAAGCAAATATCCAACGCATAAATAGCCAACAGGGTTGGCTCAACAATGCGCAAGTGTCTCCAACTCAATCATCAATCAGAAGACAAGATCAGCCACAAAACCAACAATGGAATAATAAACCACCACAAGCAGCCAATTCACAACCACAACGATCTCTGGAAAAAGCGCCAAATCAAAATATGAATTTGAACAACCAAATGCAGAATATACCGCCAATGCCTACACAAACTTCAAACAATCAGGCTATGAACCAAAAAACTCGAAAAAATCAAATTAATCCACTACAACAGCAGCAACCTAGGAACAAGTTTCAGGAAAAGCAACCTTCAATTCAGCAAAATCCACCACAGCAATGGCAGCAACAACAGAACATGAACGGACCTCCGGCGCAGGGAATTCAAAAAACCCAAATGATACACACTAGAGTTCAACAACAACTACCTTCAGAAATGCCTCCACAGCAACAGCAGTGGATGAACCGGAATTGGCAAGCACAAGGAAATCAACAATCAAATCCCTACCCATCTTCAGCACCCATGACAAGTAATCAGGCAGGAAACCCACCATACAGGGTGAGGAAGAATAAAAAACCTTTTAGTTTGAACGCCGATCCACAAGCAATGAGATGGAGTCCAAAAGTGGCAAGACAATTTTTTGGTGGACTTACTGTATACGACCCAAATGGAAGTCCATCATCAAATAAACCGAAAGCTTCACCACCAAGTCCTCCTCAAAGGCCAATCTCTACTCCTGCCCCAGCTATAGCTCCATCACAACCAGTTTCTTCTCAAATCGTTAAGAAATGGAACTCTGTACAAGCTCCCGCTGCACCAGTTGTTCCTAATCAGATCCAACAATCTGCCGTTCAGAGTGTTCCATCCCAGATAAACAGGAGTGTCAATCCCCCAAACTACGCTCAACAGCAACAACCTCAGCCAACCCAAAATATTGCACCACCAGGACTTGGACAGCAACCAAACCAACCTCAAAATGCTATACCTCCTTCATATATTCCTCAACAACAGCAACAGCTACAAATTCAGAATGCATCTCCGTCCCAACAATTACAACAGACACAACAAAATCAAAATACTGTTCCACAAATGCAGAATGCACCTTCTCCCCCACAAGTACAACAGACACCACAAATTCAAAACAATGTCCCACAAATACAGAGTGCGGCACAAGGTCAAACTCAAAATAAACCTACAAAAATCATGACAAATAAACTTATTGCTGGTTCCAACATCAAAGGAATTAATTCACCCTTGTTTGTTCTTCAAACAAAAGCAGATTTAAACAAACATTTGGACAAAATGGAAACACCTTCCAGCACAAAGAGCACTGATCAAATGTTGAACATTGGGGAATATGACACTGGGTTTAAAGGTAATAAAAATCCATTATATGTGGTTGGTGCACCTCTCAAAGTTCACGATCCCAGTCCAGAACCCTCTCCTCAGATAGAAATAATTCCAAATCAGTCGAGTCGTGTAATTCCGACGCAGAACAACGTACCAAAGAATCAACAACCACAGCAACTAGCGATTCAAGGTCAACAAAACATGCAAACCCCTACAACTCAAAATCAATCACCACAACAAGGTGTTGTTCTTGGACAACAGCCACAACAAGTTATTTTAGGTCAACAAAATCCGATTTCAACTCCTTCTCCGACCGTTGTTCAGACCACTGAAGCCCCACGTCAATTTAATCCCTTTGCGGGTAGTCCACGTCCAGTTCCAAACAATAAAGAATTAATGGGTCAACGTCACCTCCCATTATCAGGACAACAAAACTCGTCACCTTTCCGTGGTTTTAATTCAGCTTTGGGAAGGGGTGGACCTAACGTACCAACCCCAACGACCCCAAATCCAGCGACAACTCCACAATATCGACAAGGTAGTTTGGGTGCGCTTGGAAGAGGAATGACACAAAGTAACTTACAAGGTGCTATTTTAGCTGCAGAAACAACAACAACAACAACACGATCCCCACCAGTCATAAGTGCTAGACAACAATATTTCTCTGCACAAAGAAAGGGAATGTTCCGGCCAACATTCGCTCGTAAATTACCTCAACGATATCCACAATATCCTCAAAGAAACAATCAGCAGTCATTCCAATCAAGAATGGTACAAAATAATCAACAGCCTGTAATTTTGCAACCACAAGTAAGAGGACGTCCAGAGAACACAACAGAAAGTCCCCAAATGCAACCACAATTCGCACAGAATAACATGAATAGGATGACCAATTCAAGATTTTCTAGAAATATGCAAATACCGTATCCAAATAGACCGAGATCATCTACCATTTCTCAGCAGAATCCTCGGCCAAAACAGTTTCCTCAACGTCCTTTATCAAACCCACAGACTTCTGGCTCTCAGTTAAGTAGCTGGAAAAATCCCTCTCCTATGCAGAACCCACAGTTTGTTAGAAGACAACAATCTAGTCTTTCTCAAAGGTTTAATCAAAAAGGTAATCTTAATTTAATTGGAGTAACACCAGGTCCTACATCAAATCAGGGTAATGTTAAGGAAGCCAGAGTTTTAGTAAATCAGAATGTTCCCTCACCAACACCTCCACAGATGAAACAACCTAATCCTGTTTCTAATCCAAGGTCCAAAAATATGCTTGAATCTAACACTGCTAAAAGTGGTCCTAAACCCCAAAGAGGTCCACAACAACCACAGGCTAGAGAACCACAAAGTCCTCTACAAAGTGTTCCAAAACCAATCGTAAGGGAACCTCAACCAATCAAAGGGCAATATCAACCTCAGATGATTAAAAAACCTTCGCTTAGTCGGAAAGCTTTTGAAACGGGCAGCAGTAAATCTAATGCATTTAGTTCATTTTTAATGAATGGGGGTCATAAAACTGTTGTTGCAGCAGCAAATGCAATTGAAAAGCCGCAGCAAGGTTTGAAGAACTCTGTTAAACGAGCAGAATATGTTGCACCTGTCGATGCCATTAGTCCTGCAAAAGAGTCAAATACAGTTTATTCCAATCCCCTGCATTATCACAATCAAAGACGGGGTTTTGGAATTGTGTCAGGGGGTCTTTCGGCGTCAAGGTTAGATCCAAATTCGGTAAAAAGAGCCCAACAACGCCTTCGTCCATCCGAGAGTCCAAAACTTTCGCATCTTGGAAAAATACTTGGAAAAGAACAGCCTGCACAAAGACTTGGCAGCTACCAAAATGTTCTCCGCCAGGCAGGGGTAACTCCAGACATCAAAAATAGTGAAGTTCTATGGTCTGTTCGGACAACACCTGCGGAGTCTAAGATCATTTATCAAGACGCCATTCAGAATCAAGCTATTGCCGAAAAGGGCCCAGCAATACCAGGATACTACAGAAGAGACCTTGTTGTTGAAAAGCAACCACAGTCCGTAGTGCCGGAAGTTAAGTCCACAAATATTAAAACGCAACAGTCCATGATGAGTGGTGGACCTCTGCCAATGGAAATGGAAAAATCACGGAACAGTGTTAGGAATAACGCTCATCCCCAAGTAAAGCCTAAAGCAGTCAATTATCCACAGATACCCGGCTCACAGAACGTACCCGCAGTGCCAGGAATTCCTCGTGAAGCGCCGGCTAAGATGGCGGTTGTTGATCCTCCTGTCCAAAGAAAACAAATTAAGAAACAAAATCCTCAGCAACAAGAACATCATCAACAACAACAACAACAACAACAACAGATGCTGCTAGAAAAACAGCAACAGGGAGCTGAGCAAAAAACAACACCACAGCCTAAGGTTAACTTCCGTCAGGCGCAAAGGTATCAACCAGAACAGTTTTTCCGGTTTAGATCGTCTCCGTTTGGAATACCGCAGATAAGGCAGGCAGCGCAGAAACCAACTAGTGGTAGCGTAGTCCAATACAATAGAACTCCATGATTTCATTCTCTATTTCATTGTGATTCATTGACAATCTTTTGAAAACGTGGTCTTGTTTCTCTTTTCGAATTTTCGAAATCGTATATGTGAACTGTGATGTCACGTTATCCAAATGGATAAGTGAACCGAACAATACGAGATTACAAAAATAACAAGAAATAAGAGTTATGTTTCGTTTTTAAAATTAAAATCCAATCATTTTTCTCATTGAGATATGGAAAAAAAATTTGTGCTATACTTGTGGAGATTAGAAATAAATGGCTGGAATATTACTGGAAAATGTATTCCGTCTTTTGACGTCATACTGAACGTGACGTAATCGTTAGTGAGTGTGAATGCTTGTTGATTTTGTTGCTGTTTTAGTGTTTGTAAATATTTATTGATTTCATATATAAAATGTAAAAGATGATATAAACCTGTTATTTTCATTCTTCATAGGAGCTGACGCATTTTCTTATGAGCGATCTATACTTGATTAGACTTTATTAAACTTTATATAAAATAAAACTCATTTTAAATGGAACCAGAAACACGTACCATGGATAAATGTGGAAATGATATGTATTGGTTGTGCGTATCAGACAGAAACCTTAGAATTATATATGAATATTTTAATAAAAATTGAAATAAAGTTACGTCAAAAAGTTAACCCTTTTAATCCGTTGTTGTCCGTAGAACACCCTTCCAAGCATTAGGAAACTCTTAAGTGTTACAAAGGGATTAATATAAACATATAAATATGACAGTTTTGACATTCTTTTCTTTTATTCCTTTCTTTCGAAATATAAGGAAATTAATAAGCAAGACATGTTAATTTTTCTTAGTACTAAAATAGACGATAGGTATGATATTCTAAAAATGAATCATTGCTAACTAGGCTTCGCAGAGTTTTAAGAAAAACCAGAAGTCTCTGTCGAGACTGTTGCTCTATACTGGTTTGTACTTACCAGTATAATAAAGAAAAGAAAAGTAGCAGTTGAAACTTAAAACTTTACAAAAGCCATAAACAGAATAATGATTTTGATTAAGTCTCTTTTGAGGTAAGATCAGGCACGTAGCATCGTTTTTGAAAGTGGGGGGGCCAACCTGAGAAATTTTTTTTTTACTTACATGAAAAAGTTGACAAGCAAATAAAAAAAAAAAAAAAAAACCAAATATTAAAAGTTAACCAAAGTCGAAAATCCTATTTCGAAATCAAAAACGGGGATAAACAGGGGGGGGGGGGGGGGGGCTAGTGGCTAACTTTTTTCAAGACCAACTATCTTTTTGGGGTAAATTTTCTTTATAACACTACACTGTGCTGAAATGTACACAGGGGGGGGGGGGGGGGGCCAACCTTCCTTTCAGTATACATTTTCTATAGTAAAGGTAATGTCGGGAGAAAAAGTGGGGGGGGGCCGGGCCCCCCTGGCCCCCCCTGATACTACGTGCCTGAAGATTGCAATAAGACTACAGCTGTTGGAGTAGCTTTAAATAAAATTTTACTGAATTTTCAATTTAAATTACTATGGCAACATAAATCATCAAAATCAAAAACACATAACTGTTAATTATGTATCTCAGTGTAGTCTGCTTGCATGCTAAATTATATTATAATTCATTATAATATTATAATTCACATCAAAACTGTAGGAGTAGTAGCATTTTGAATGATTTTCACAGAAATGTCTATTTTTAGTAACAACGGCAACACCATTCATCGAAATCAAAAACCGATCGATAAACAGAATTATGTATCTTAGTGTAGTCTACTTGTGTGCCAAGTTATACTGAATTCAGATCAAAACTGTAGGAGTATTAGCATTTTGAATGATTTTCACAGAAATGTCTATTTTTAGTAACAACGGCAACACCATTCATCGAAATCAAAACCGATACACAGAATTATGTATCTTAGTGTAGTCTACTTGTGTGCCAAGTTATACTGAAATCAGACCAAAACTGTAGGAGGAGTAGCATTTTGAAAAATTGTTTACAGACAGACGGACAGACAGACAGACAGACGGACGGACGCCGGACGCATTACTATCGCATAAGCTCTTCTGGTCTCTGACCAGTAGAGCTAAAAAATTACTAATCGGTTAATGAAAATTATCTCTCACACTGAGACGATTTAGGCATTGTAGGATACATATGAAATAAATGACCCTAGGGCTCTACTACAAAAATGATTTTTTTTCAATGACTAGAGGTATTATTTTTGTCTTTGGCTCCCGGTCAGTGTTCGACGAGGTCCCATTATTTGTCTTTGCATCGGCTGCAATAATAACCCCTCACGTTAAAAGTTTGGGAAAAATTGTAAACTGTAAAAATATTTTAAATCATATTCACAACCTTCTAGGCTTCTACTTTTATTTTCTTATACATAAATATAATGATTTTTTCAACTGTTGGAAACAAAAATACTTCTCCTTTTTCTTAAGATAGATTAACAGATGAGGAAAGGATTTTTTATGTAATGTATGACAGGTCCCCTTATTTCATATTTGAATCTGTCATCCCATAATGCCCGAAGCTCTTTTCCTATGCAAATAACTTAAAGATTCACTCGGAACAATGTCTTGGCTGTCAAATAAATTGTTTATGACATGAAATTAATTTCTCTGACTGTGTGAACAAAAATAGCGATTTTAATGACTTTTATACATATTTTTCTGCAATTTATTCTGAGGAAGTTTATTTTCTGATGGAATGAATTTCTGAATGATTAAAACAACAATCTCGGTACATTGCAATATTTATATGTAAATAAATGAGATAGAAAAGAGAGAGAGAGAAAGAAAGAGAGAAAGAGAGAGAGAAAAGAGAGAGAGTTTAGTGAGCCTAATACAACAATGGTGTTTAATATGAGGAACAACTGAAACGTAATTCCATAGGAGAGGGTAATAACACTTCAATTGATTATTGGAGAAAGAGCGTTTAAAGGTACGGACTCATTGATTCACAAGTTTAGTCAACATTCTTTAAACACATGAACATCAATGACAGATTAAAAATTAATTCATCATCATCAATATGTTCCCTATAGTTTATTAGAAAAATAAATGATCAATTGTGATAAAAAAATCAAAGATCAATGAAAGGAAACAACGCAGTAATTGTTCTTATCGATCGCGATTCGAATAATTACTATCACTGTATGACAATTTAAAACTACCTGTGGAAAACTTATGCTCGGTGGATCCAAGATTTTTCATGGAGGAATGTAGAAAGTGTTTTGGTTTAATATAATAATCAGGTAGTCTGAAATAAAATTTATTATTGCATGTAAAATCGGGGTTTACCAGCTAGCTCAACTCATTTATGCTAAAGAATATTTTGCCAATCAATTTCAGAAGCGCTTCGATGGTTTTCATTTCTTTCTTAATTGTTGATTAAGGTACCTCTTGAATTTCTAGGGTGAGGGTTCCTGTATGGAAAATTAATAGTACTTTACTTTCTTCTTTTATATCCGTTTAGATCATTGATAAAGTTATTACGAGATTAAAGGGTCACGGGAATATAACTGATGCTTAATTTCGGCCTTTTTTATAATGAAGCGGTGCTCTACTCCCCCCCACCCCCCCCCCACCCCACCCCTCTCTCTCTCTCTCTCTCTCTCCAATTTTCTCCGTTTCAATGTTATCTGCAGATCTTAATTTCCGAAAAAAAGAGATCATTATCATGTGTTCCTCTTTAATTTCAATCAAGTATAGAAAACAAGACAATTTCTACCTTAAATCGTCTTCAATTTGTTCATATTTTAAAGGTAACGTCAAGCGGTCTTATACGTTTTGGACGTAAGTCATTCTGACATAGCCAGGTTATACAATTTAGATTAATTTTTTATCTAATCAAATGACGTATTACAACCAAAATTAAATTATTGTAACATAACCTTATCTCTGAAGTAAATAGTATGTCCTGATAAGATAATGTTTTTTTGTTTTCTTTTTTCCCCTTTAAGATAATTCAGATCTCAATCATCTTTAATTTTTTGTAATCATGTCATTCAATGGACACGTTATTGCAATACAAATAAAAATAGAAGAGAGTAGAGTACTCACTTCATTATTTGTTACTATGTTGCATGATAAGGGTATTGTGTATATAATGGAAGAAATGAAATATATAGAAATAAATGAACAGTTTACCAGCTCAAATGTGCATTAAAAAATTTAAAGTAGGGGAAGAGCAAACAGGAACTTCATAAACATCAAAGGTGGGATCAGGTGCCATTGAGGAGTGACTATCCCCTGTCGACCGGTCACATCCGCCGTGTGTTCCTTGTCATGATCGGAAAATAACGGGAAAATTTATCGACAATTCAGTTAGTTTAAAATGACCTTACAGTAAGTATGAGAAACGTCAGTCAGAATTTGACATAATAATAAATTGTTTTTCCTAAAAAGTCACTGTATCAACCATAGAACTTAGGAAATTGTGGCTTTAAATGTTGAAAAAACGATTTTACCAATCACTATTTTGTGATTTAGATCGGTGAAAATGGTTTAAGCAAAAATTATTTGGATTTAGGCATTTATTGACTTTGGAATGAAATTCATTACGGGTGCAGTGTATTAATATAAGGAAAAGTTAAGTCATTTGTTTATCAATATATAACCGAGTTGTGTCAAATGATTCATGAGCTAAATCGACAGAATACAGGGCATGAAAAAAATAAACATTTTATCGACGTGTTATTTTCCATGGCTATGTTGTATCCCGTAACAGTGCATGCCCAAAAACAAAATAGCTTTATGATTTTGATGAACAGGAGACCAAAGTTAAAGATTTCATCAATCTATTTAATATGCATAATGTAAAAGTTAATTGTTTCCTTCAGAGTACAAAGTGATATAGGAGCTGAGAGCACTACAATAGGTACACGGGAATATTTTCATATATAATTTTAAAAAAATGTAATAAAATACAGAAACGTTATACATAGTCAGTTTATGAATCGATAAAGCAAACGTAAGCCATTGGTACATTGAAATTATATACTGTACACCCTTTTGAAAGAAATCGACTATCACAATGATTTGCGAAATTTTAAAAAAAGATTATTTCATACATCACAAAATAAGGACTGATATACCTGTTTATATGTGATTGTCTAGCAGGAAATATGAAATTCTTAGAGAACTTTATATTCCTTGCTAATGCATATATACTTGTATGGGGACATTTGCAAGACGGATATTCTAAATTGAAATACGGTTATAGATTGGACAGGAAAATGATCAACTCCTTTATCGAGTATAGTATACTAGACTGTGTAGAAGAATGTTTAAGAACCACGCGCTGTAAATCTCTAAGTTATTACAAAGGAGCCAATTACTGCGAAATTAATTATGAGAATAGAAGAACAACCCCGGAAAGATATATAGAGGATGAGAGCTGGATTTATAGCGAAAGGGAAGATTGGGACAA